GGCTCTGGTTTCTGGCATCCCACTGACCTGAGTTCAAGTCTTCTCTGTGCCACTTAGTTTATTTGCCTTAAAGAGGGTACCTTTCTCATTCCTTAATGTTACCCTCTAAAACAAGGCTGGTGTTTTTAAATAGGAATGTAAGCCCCTTATAAGCAAAAGCCACCTATATACAGATGCGTACTACATAGAAGGACTTCATTTTCTGTTGAATAGCCCTATCTTGCTTCATAGGCTTATTGTGAGGAAGAACTCAGTGTATAAGGGGAAAGGTAAACTGCCCAGGCTAGGTTTGAATAATCCCAGAGTGCTGGGATTACAGGCCTGAGCCACCACACCTGGCTTCTAGATTTCTAGAAAATTTGGCTTTCATGTAACAAAATGGTCATTTTGTTTTGGATAGCTAGTCCTTAGGGTTTAGAGTGCCACAAAGTAAATTAAAATAACTTACATATAAATTGAGGAAACATGATATCCATCAGCAGCTCAAAAGAGAGACACAGGAACCTGGAAATGGAGAGGAGTAGAGCTGCCAGTATATTGGGGGTCAGAAAAAGCCCATCAGGCATGGAGTGAGGCTGATGTCCAGGAAAAGGCACAGTTAGTAAGCCTTTCCCAGTGGTAGGAAAGGCTATGGAAATTTAAAGAACAAAGAAATCTAATGTTCAGTTTTAAATCTGTTGTGTTGTACAGCTTAGTGACTAAAGAAGTAAAAGACTTGGAAGGAAATTTTTGCTACCCTCTCCTGGCATTATCTCTAAAGTTTCCAAAATTCGGAGATACTGATAATCTAATTTTTTGGAGGAAGGGAAATATACTAGAACAGGATTGGTGGTGGAGATGTTCTACACTTCCCATTTAAGCTTCAGGGGTCTGGTGTTTCAAATGTTCCTGGATTACAGTTTCATCCTGACATTCTGCACTAAACAATCTTTAGACTGTTTTTCCTTATGTAATGGTCTAAAATGCCTGATGATAGCTCAGATTTTCATCCTTCTCTGTAATTAATACACGAAACTGATATAATCTCAGGTATATTTGTGCTGACGTATGGATGCTGGAACTAGGCCTCAGACCTAGAGACCTCTGTTTTTCAGTTGTGTGGGTAAATGCTAATGATCAAAAGATTCTCAAAGTTCACAAGCAGAAGATAGGTGGAAATCTCTAGTCAAAGGATGAAGATTGTGAACTAATTTGTTTTTCTCCTGATAAGTTTGCCTCCTGTTTTATGATCTCCAGGGTATAAAATAAAGAAGGGATTTTATAGTATTGTGTTCTGAAGGTCATAGAACTGAGAAGAGAAGCTTGCATTTAAAGACCTTTAAGAATTGCCTCTGATAATTTGGGACTGATATTTTGCTGTACCTGCATGAATCTAATACTTTCAAAAGTTCTGACTATGTTACTTAAGGCCATAGATATGACTTAAAATATTGTGGAACTTCAAATTCTGGAAGTTGTAGCACAGGGTAGACATAATGGAGGAACAGATCTAATAGAGGTCATTCTATGGGGAAGAAATTGCATGAGCAAAAGTTCCTAGGCACAAGAAGGCAGGGTGCACCTGGTCATAGATCTGTGCATCTGTGTTCTATTTAAGTGGAATATAAGTAAACTGGAAAAATAGGGCTGGATTTTTGGGAGAGTCTTCAAATCAGCCTCAGACATTTCTTGTAAAATTACTCATTGTCATGAATACTTTATCTACCATCCACAACTCAACTCACTGCAATCAGGAAACTGCTGCATAGGATAGACTTAGAAATAGTAATGGCTTCAATAAGGCACTCATGTAAACTCATTAAAAGAAAGCCAGAAGAAGGCAGTCCATGGTGGCTACATGAAATTCTTAGAGATCTAGTTTCTGTTTAGTTTATTGCTCCACCATCTTACGACTCTAGCCCTCAAGGTATTTATTCCGGGAATCGAAAATTATGCATCCATCTAAAAAATTAAATGTTCTCCTACTAGGGAAGAAGAGGGGAATGGATATCAGGGTAAGTAATTAGCAATTGATGTCACAAATATCTCTACTGAAAATATTTCTTTAAAGGTCACCAGAAACTACTATCCAATTGTCAAAATTTCCTCAACATTTTGAGGGACCTTACTTTTTTCTTTTAATCTCTTGGAACCAGTCTGTGCTACATAGACTTTTCTTTTAAAAAGTCTCTCTCAGCTGGACGTGGTGGAGCATGCCTGTAATCCCAGCACTCGGGAGGCGGAGGCAGGAGGATCTCTGTGAGTTTGAGACCAGCCTGGGCTACATAGTGAGTTCTAGGTCAGTCTAAACTACATAGTGAGACCCTGTCTCAAAAAAACAAAACGAAAAAATAAATTAAATAAATAAATAAATAAATAAAAAGTCTCTTTCCTTGGTTTTGTGATGCTTCTTTCTTTTTTTTTTTTTTTGTATTTCCTTGATCACTCCTTATCAGCCTCTTTAATGGGATAATTTTCCTCCACTTTTATCAGACGTGCTGCATCTCTTCTAGCAGAATGCTGGGTATTCTTGCCCTTTCCATGAATTAAAGAACCATTTATATGTTGATGATGCTCAGATCTATAATCCATGTCCAGACGGTTTTCCTAAGTTTAGACATTTATATCCAACTGCCTGTGGGACATTTCCACCTGGATGTCCCATACATGCTCCAAAATCAATATTCAGCTTCCCTCAAATCCATTCATCATTTAGTATTACATATTTTAGTGAGAGGTCACCATCCAAGCTCTCAAATCAGATCCCAAAGAGTTCCCGCTGACATATACCTCCTCTTAACCCCTCCCTCCACAATCCAATTACTCACGAAGTATTACTGTTTATTTCTTTACTGTCTCCTGAATTCAATTATTTCTCAATAACTCCACTACTACCACCCTAGGCCAAGCCACAATTATTGTTTACCCGGATAATTACCAAGCTCTTTGTTATTCTCCCTGTTTCTGTGACACATCTACTCCATACTCTGTATGACAACTAGAATGCTCTTTGTAAAACACAAACTTATGTCATATCCATGCCTAGAGCTTTTCAATAACCCCTATGTAAAAGTCCTTATCTTGGCATTCAAGGCTTGTTAGGATTTGAACAGATAGGAATTTAGGGCAGTAGAATTGGAAGAAAAGGAAGGGCTAGATCCAGCATGGATAGGAAGAAAACCTAAGAGGCAAAAAAAGTGGTGAGGTGAAATCATAAAGTTGAAGGAAGTAACAGTTCAGAGGAAAAGAAGAAACAGGAGGCCAGAAACCTACCTTGAATATGTGAGAAATGTATGTGTGCATGCATGTCTTAAATTATTCATAGATCATAGGTATCCATGATATTTTATTTGCTTAGTAAAGGAAAATGTGATTTTTTGAAGCAAGAGATGTGACCATTTGAAGTCCATTTGGATGCAGAAAAGATATTGAATGTTATTATTTTTGCAGCTGACCACTGGGCTAAAGCATTCTATGATTTCTAATATGTTTTAAATTAATACTCTTGGTGTTTCCAGGCTTACATTCACATAGTCTGTAACTAATGATTCTTTAATCTACTTTCCATTACTTTTACATCTATGCACTTTTTGAAAATAAGCTGACAAATTTGATATTAAAGTGGAAGACTTTTGTTAGCAAACGCTACCATAAAAATAACAAAAGGGACTAGGATGTTCCTTGTAGTATTGTTGGTAACAGTGAGGGGACAAAATGAACAATCCAAATGTCCATGTAAATTGGACTATCTAAATAAATAATGGGATGTGTATACACCAGATTATGCAGCTATTAAGAAAATTTGCACCAAGGGAAAGATATTTAAATATATAACTGGAAGAAAAGAAAAAAGCAGGTCACAGAATAAGAGGAACAGTGTACCATGTGTAGGGATAAAATCTCCCAAATTAGTATATGAATAAAAATCTGGAGGAATATATAAATGAAAATGTTTCTAGTGATTATTGCTGGGGAATGATATAAGGGTGGGCTTTCATTGGTCTGTTACATATTTATGCATTATTTGGGTTTTCAAAAAGACAACACATTACCTTTGTAATAAGAAATATATAAAAATAAATAAATGCAATGAAGGAATCGCTTTCAGCGAGTGGTATGGGTTAGAAAGGCTTCGGACTGATCCTGGTACAGTGGCATAAGCATGAGCTTTGGCGTCAGACAGCCGGAGCGGGGCCCCATTGCCCCACCCCTCACCTCCCCAA